GTAAAAAAAAATATGTATTTCTTTTCTCCTATTCTACCATTCCAAACCAAATCATGAGTGCTGAGTTCAGTAATAATTCTTAAAGGGCAGGCACTAGTCCAATCAGGAAACAGGGCCATCCTAAATCCCTGCTTCCTCATAAAAAACTCTGTTGTGTCTCAGAAGCTAAAATAGAAGGCATATTCTAGCACTCTGAATTGGGGGTTGGGGGGGAGGAACTTTAACATTTCTTAAGCCTAGCTTTCTAATATCAGAAATAGAATGTGTTATTGGAATTAAATCAGCAAAAAGATGTACACCCCACATACATATATACATACCTGGACATGATACTTGACAATATAATGGGCAAGCCAGAGAGGAATAAAAAGATTTATTAAACTAAATTTTCCAGCGTTGTAGATATTGAATACCTAAAAATAATTTTAAAAATTAGTTCTTTAAAACTTGATTACATCAATACAATTTCATTGGATTTGTTGAAATTTAAAAATTATGTTTAATGCTATTTTTAACATAGCAAACTATGGTACAATCTTGTAGGAATAAATCTGCCTTCTGGAATAGCCTTGAGGTAAGAGAAATTTGTCTATATACATTTATTTACCATTTTATCCTGCACTAAACTATATTTTTATGCATAGCTGAATTAGCCATAAAGCTAATTCATTTCAAATAAGTTTTCATAAATCAATTTATTGGATACAGATAGGAAAATCCACACAAAATGGAAGAAAAGCTTCTCAGCTCTTCCCATCATGCTGAAAGATAAAAGTGGCTTGCAGTATGTGGTTATCTCTCAGAGACTTTATATAAATGTATTTTATCCCCAAACTAAGAACTTTCACATATTGCCAAATTCCTTTATGAAAACAGCCCGTTTTGTTCTCCAAATATAGGAAATCCCAGATATATTACAGAAATACACTACCCAGGCCTCACTTCCTTTGTGGAACACTGCTTTTTAATTACATCCTATCTTTTTCAACAACTCTAAGGGTTTCTATGGCAGCTGTAATTTAGTTTCTCATTGTTTTTCAAAAACAGAAGGCTGAAAAATTATGTTAGAAAATATTCCTGGGTTTCAATGGAGTTACTCTGAACATACACATCACATATGTATTAAAGATGTTTTGTTGTTATTTTGGCAATACTGGGGCCCTGAATGAGATTAATCATCTTTGTCAATGGAGACTATAAAATACAGGTAGTCCTCAATTTACAACAGTTTATTTAGTGACCATTCAAAGTTACAATAGTACTGAAAAAAGTGACTTGTGACCATTTTTCACAATTAAGACTTTGCAGCATCCTCATGATCATGTGATCAAAGGTCAAATGCTTGGCAGCTGGTTCATAGTTATGACTGTTGCTGTGTCCCAGGGACATGGGATCAACTTTTGTGACCTGAGAAGCAAAATCAATGGGGAAACTAGATTCACTTAACAAATGGGTTACTAATTTATCAGCTCCAGTGATTCACTTAAGAACTGTGGCAAGAAAAGTCGTAAAATAGGGCAAAACTCACTTAACAAAGAAACGTTGGGCTCCATTGTGGTTGTAAGTCAAAGGACTACCTGTATACAGCTAATGGCTGTGATTTCCCTTAGTACGTCATTCTTTAATCTCTATTTTTTTTCTATTTTCTACTATATTTTTATTTTATCTTGTTTACATCATGAACCACTCAGAATCCATCTGGAATAGGGCAGTATCTAAATCCAAGCCAATCAATAAAGCTAAATAAACAAAGGCAAGGAAGATCTGATTTGCTAAGGGGTATTTCCATATTATGGAGAGCCTTATATATCATTATATTTACTTTAACACGCTTTTTAAAACTCAAAACGTTTAGCTTCCTTGGGAGAGTGATGCGACCAAGTGACCTATAGATTCAATACTGCTATCCTAAAAAGACACTAGTAATTACCACAGCAGCATCGGTAAGCAAGATGTCAAGAAGGTGTATACGTGTGGGTATTAAACCACACAAATCATACACGCGTCTGCTCGGCAGATGCGTGTCCGAACTTGCATCCAGAGGACCAGGGACTTTTTTTTTACCTTTAATCCCAAGAAAATGTAGGGTTGCAATCTTAACCGATGCAAAAAAAAAATAAAAATAGCATAACCGAGACGTCCTCCTTTGCTTTGCTTCAGAGCCCCTTCCCTGAAGCTGTGCCCGGGCCAGATGCTGCACTACAACCCATGCCCAGAAGGCACCGCCCAGGCTAGCCCTGCACTACAACCCCTATCCTCCTCAACCTCTGAGAGCCACCACCGTGCCCAGAAGGCACCGCCCCCCACCCACCACTCCTGCCTTCGCCTGTGCTTCACCTGTCTCTTCCAAAGCCTCTCGGGCTGAAGGAAGCGCTCCCAGAAACCTTCCACCCAGCCGACCTTCCGCGGGGGAAGGACAGGTTCCCGGGGGCTCAGCTCCTGGTCTTTGAGCCAGCGGCGCCGGAGCTCGCGCAGCTGCTGGCGCCGGAGCTTCTCCTCCGGAGTGTAGCCGATCACCTCCTCGGGGAGGTCTCTGGGTTGCAGCCCCGAACCCCGCGACATCTTTGCAGTCCCGGGTCTCTCTCGGCCACTTCTGCGGGGACGCGCCTCTCTGCGCCTGTGCGACCTTACTGTGGAGGACAATCCTGGGAAGGAGGGAGGGGTGGACGTCACTTCCGAGTCGCGTGCCCAGCCGTAGAGATAGGAACGAAGACAAACGATATCAGACACTTTATGACTCGTGGACTTCAACTCTCAGAATTGCTATGCTGGCTCAGGAATTCTGGGAGTTGAAGTCCATGAGTCATAAAAGAGCCGAGGTTGCCTACCCATGCACTATACCAGGGGTAGACAACCTTGGCTCTTTTATGACTCGTGGACTTCAACTCCCAGAATTCCTGAGCCAGCACAGCTGGCTCAGGAATTCTGGGAGTTGAAGTCCACGAGTCATAAAAGAGCCAAGGTTGCCTACCCCTCCACTATACGAACGGGCATCTGCTGTAGCTTGGCCATAGATTTTTTTTTTCACCTATTTCTTCATATATAATTTTTTTGTCATTTTTACCCAGGTCTGGAGTAGGGCGACTCTAGAGAAGCGTCTTGAAACCACGTCGTCTTGTATTTTAAAACGAACGGGAAAGGATCCCCCCCCCACTTTTCCTCTAACCGCTCTCTCCTCTTGGATGCCTCTTCTTTAGGCAAAAGAGTGATTCCAAATAAAATAATTTTATATAATATAGGCATAACATATATATAATTGTGTGTTGTATTTACTGTATTATAATAGTAGGATGCCTGAACTGTCCCATCAAGACAAGACACCGAGACTTTTTTGCGCCCATGAAATTGTGAAAGGTCCTTTAAAAGCTGCTAGGTAAACGAGGTCAAGCTGAAATTGTTCCCTCAGGCAATTTAGCAGGCTAGAAGTGTAAGCCTGTAAACACTGGGAACTTAAAATGAACGGCATAATGGATGTGGGTGGTGGGGGAACTTCTAGTCTTAAATCTTAAATCTCCGAAAGTTCTTCACCGATTGCTTTGAAATTTTGACACAACTGCATTAGAATACCCGCATGTTTTTATATACCTACTATTATATAGATGTCACACCTGTGACAGGTAAAAACATGCTTTTTTTGAAAAACAGCGTCATCTGTTGGACATAAAAGCAACACAAGATTCCAACGGATATGCCATTTCAATTTAAGAGATTGCAATGCCCAATTCGATTGGCGTTTGCAATCACCATCAACAAAGCTCAGGGCCAATCTTTAGAATTGTGCGGTTTAGATCTAGACACGGATTGCTTCTCACATGGACAATTATATGTTGCGTGTTCTAGAGTCGGCAAACCAGACAATCTCTATATCTGCACAGACAATGGAACAACAAAAAATATTGTATACCCACAAGCATTGNGGGGGTTGCTGAATTAGAATTTGCCTTTCTCAATATTTCAGCATCACTTGATGCCATTAGAAGACTGCAAACTGAAGTACCCTCGGTGTCTCAAATTGTTATTCAGAACCCCATAGCTCTTTTATTGGCAGATCAAGGTGGAGTTTGTGCACTCATTAATGCTAGTTGATGTACCTATCAAGAGAGCCAGGTGGTTTGTAGATGTACAAGCTATTTTAACTCGGTATGCTATTTTTCACACTGTAGTATATGTTGATGCCCCTCTTCCTCTTGGTTTGCTTCAGTGAGATCTGTGCGTGCCAGGGCACAAGCCTAGGGACCAGACCTGGCTGTCACCCTGCTATATGACAAGGAATGTCACACTCGAGAAAACAATGATCTGTCTCTAAGATGAAATGACATCTCTTCTTCTGTGATGAGATCATGCCATTTATCTGGTCAGAACATAGAGAAACAGTGAACTGCTGAGGGAAGAAATCGCCATCTCTCCTCCTTCACAGGCAGGCCATAAGAAGCATACTTAGGCCACATGATTAGTTCATTGGGACTTTACTTGCAAGTGATACACATAGGACTGTGTTGCTAGTTATGTCCATTTGGGAGACACCACTGATCAGCTAAACATCTGTCATGAAAGAAGTATTCTTCCTTCCATCAAGCCCATTAGAAAGAGAAACATTCTAGAATCAAGATCCAGCTGATAACTCAGAATATATTTCAAGGTCATATTTCAACAGAGGTTCTCTTGTTCTCTGACTTTTTTTCACACAGTGCATTTGTCTCTATGTTATAATCTGGACAAAATATTTATTGGGAGATCACCTCCAGTCATCTCATCTTTTTGAGAGATTGGACAGAATCAAAAGTATTCATGCAAGTCAGATTAGTTTAACAACTCCATGCCTTTGCGTTAATCTATCTGAATTTTCAACTGAAATCAAACTGAAATCTGTTAGTCAAATAACTCAACATCATTAGTATGTCCTCATGTTTTCTTTTCCATTCTCCCCTGGGAAAAGCTAGAGCAAATTCTATGTGCTCTTCACACTTGCTCAGTATAAATGTTCATATTCCTGTTTTTCTTTATTTATCTTGGGAGATTTCATCCACTTGCTTGCCCAAAAGGTTTATATTGGCCATCCTTCCATGCACCCTGACTCGATAAATGCAGGTGTACTCCGGATTTCCCCAGTTGCTCTGCACTTTGATTTTTACATACTGGAACGCCTTCTCCTGTTCATTCTGAAATGTAGATGAGGAAAAAGAACAAACAATAAAAAGCAATAGAGATGAAATCATCATATTGAATGTCTCTATCAATTTAACAGAAAAGTGCAAAGCCTATATTTCTGCAGGCCTGTTTCCCACACACTGATATATCTGCTTTGGGATTGTTACTCATCAGAAAGGAGATTGGTGGTGTTGTTTTTTTAACTATGTCCCATGAGCTGCCATCAGTATAGTGAATTGCTACAGATTATAAAAATTACATTCCCTCAGGAGGGGCTAATCCACTCTTTAAAATACTGAATTAAAAGTTGTCTGACTTTTAGGAGATGGGGCAGAACTTGAAGAAGTTCTTTCAAAACAACTCAACCTAACACAGCTCATGGCTCTCATTTTTAATTTTACCTCTACCCACTTCTCTCATTGCTACTTTACCTTCAGTTGGAATGTCTGAATTAATTCTTTCTCAGTATCATACATGAATGTTCCCAGCAGGATCTCCTCTTTTGTTTCATCATTTAGCCCCTAAAATTAAAGGGAGGGAATCAGCTTAGAAGATTAAAAAGAAGAGTTGGATGCTGAAGCATCCCTGAAGGACAACCTAGAAACAGTTCTTGGTCAATGAAGTCAAGTCAATGCAGAAATAAAACAAAGTCTTGAGTCTTGACAGGCAGGCAGGCAATCTTTTAATAGTGAGGGGAATTATTTTATATGAAATGGGCAGAGAGCTACAGGGAGTGGTATGATAAGTACACTTTTCATCCTGACTATTGCCAGGGGCTTTCGAGACTTTGTTTTAACATGATATTAAGATACCTATGTTAGGGCTTATGTCAGAAACTCATGCTGCTGATTTTCAGCAATTCTGGTGTACTGATCTGGAAATTGATATTCTCAGGAAAAGCTGGAAGTAGCAGGCAAAAGTCTTGTCCCTTTCATTCTCCCCCCATATATTGTATTCCAAATCACTATGCTGTATATAGGTTGTAGTGAAGGCAGAAAGTCTTCCCAATAGTCACCTTAATCCCATGGAGTAGGCAAAGTGACAATCTTTAAATGCATTCATATGGGAAGCAGAAAAGAAGCTGTTAGTCATTTTCTGAATTAAATAGACCAGGGAAAGTGAACCGATACCATTGGATAAGAGAAATTAATAAACTATTTAGGGTGGTAGAGTTGGGAAGACACTATTTTTTGT